TCAGATAAAAGGCTGCGATGAAGATAGATAGATGGATGCCATTCTGAAAATAGGATGAGGATGAATAAATAGATGATAAAAAAAAAAAAAAGGCTGGGAGAATTTGATAGAAGAAGGACAAGAAGGATAAAGAAAAGATACAGAATACATATAACAATTTATTATGATTTTTTTTAGATGAAAAGATCGATATAAAAATTTTTTATCTCGAGATAGATAATAGATAGATAGAAAAGATAGATATAATTTAGGATTTAAGCATACAGATAGATGAATAGACAGATAGATAGATACTAGATAGATTTTGATATAAGCAGGATCTGATGACGATAGAAAGGCGAAACGGATAATAAAATGATTTTCCTTTTGATCATATTCAGGATAAACAGGCTGGATTCTAGATAGATATTTTATACATATAGTGATCTAAGAAGGATAAACATCAATAAAAGATGAATGGATTCATGATCCATAGATAGATGGTTGATTATAAAATAAAATAAAAAATTGACAATAGAAAAATAGATAATAGATAGGATAAATGAATTGACGTTTAGTAAAAGGATAAATGGCTATAGAAGATTTATATAATAGATGGGTTGATAGATGAATGGCAAATAAAAGGATAAACAGTTCTGCGATAGATAGATAGAGAGAATGGATATAAGCAGGATAGCTACGGTCGTTGATATGATAGAGAAGATATAACAGGCTGCGATAGATCCGATCATAGATATAAGCAGGATAAACAGGCTGCGATAGATAGATAGATAGATAGATGATGATGATGGATGGATGTCTTTAGATGAAAATAAATCAGGCTGCGATAGATATTCAGATAGATAGATAAATAGATCTTGATAGATAGATTAAAGCAGGATAAAAAAAATGCGATAGATGGCCTGATAGATAGATAGATAGATAGATAGATAGATAGATAAATTTTGGATAAACAGGCTGCGAGTGACGGAGAGGATGATAGATGAGATAGATAGAGAGATACATAGATATGATATAGGATAAACATGCCCAAATAGATAGGATAGATAGATAGATGATAGATATTTTAGCAGGATAAACTCCTGCGATGTTTACCAGGAAATAGATAGATAGATAGATAGATAATTCATCAGGATAAACAATGAGATATATAGATAAAAAGATGCAGGATAAACCTGCGATTTTTAGATTTAGATTTTTTTAGATTTAATGAGATAGATATCAGGATAAATCGATAGATAGATAGATAGATAAAGATATAATTAAACAGGCTGCGATAGATTACTAACTATCTATATGTACAAAATAGATTCTATTTTATACACATGTTTTATTCTTAAAACACAATTTTAGACGTAAAATATATAAATCTTTTACATTCTGAAAAATTGGGTAACGATTTCCGTTAGATTCAATTCTGAAAAGGCGATCTGAATATTTTTCTTTCCTGCCATTCTGAAAAAGGATGAAAAAAGTAAATTCTATAAAAAAAAAAAAAAAAAAAAAAAAAAAAAAAAAAAAAAAAAATCTGGGAGAATTTGTAAAGAAGGACAAGAAAATTCTAAAGAAAAGATACAGAATACATATAACAATTTATTATTTTTTTTTTTTTTACAAAAGTCGCACAATTTAATTTTTTTATCTCGAGAACCGCCAACTTAGCGAAAATTACTACCGATTTATGATTTAAGCATACACACAACTACACACTCATAGATACTTCTTAATTTTGCTTTTGATCTGATGACGCCTAGAAAGGCGAAACGGATAATAAAATGGCTTTCCTTTTGTCATATTCTTCAAACTTTGTCTGGATTCTGTACCCTATTTTATACATATAGTGATCTACGAAATTACATCAATAAACTATGGATTCATGTCCATCTCGAGATGGTTGCTTATAAAATAAAATAAAAAAATTGACAATTAAAACAAGCACTTTTCTTCCATATAAACATGTTGACGTTTAGTAAAAGGGAATATGTAATATACAAATTTATATAATAGTGGGTTGCTATTTTCATGGCAAATAAAGGTCAGTTCCATTCTTTATTTCCGAGAGTGACACTGGTGTTTGGCAGCTACGGTCGTTGTTGTGTAGTGGACTATATTGGTTGTGTCATTCCGTCAATCATCACGACTGCATTAGTCTCTCTCTCTCTCTCTCTCTCTCTCTCCTCTCTGTGTGTGTGTCTTTTACTGAAAATCAAATCAGCTGTATATTCACCAGAAGAAAATTCTTCTTGTAGTATTAAATAGCAAAATCCATATGGCCTGTATTGGCTACTTCTATTGTCGCAAGCAGGGAAATTTTGCCTACTACTTGTCAGTGACGGAGAGGATGTAGTGAGTGAGTGAAACTCCTCCTGTCCTATAGCAGACACATGCCCAAAGCGGTGAGGATTCTCAATGAAGTATTTTTAAGGATAGAACTCCTTGTTTACCAGGAAATCCCACATTCTAGTTGCTAATTCATCAATTCAATGGCCTATAAAAAGGTGCCGCAACCTTTTTTCTTTTTTTTTTTTACATTTGTGAGCCTATCAAGTATATCGTATTTCTAAAATATATGAACTTCCGTGTGAGCAACTGATGACGTTTTGATTTTTTCTCAGTTTTATTCTTCTTCTCTATTTTACACACACAGTGTTAGAGTGCTTTACATTTAGTATGCGCAGTACTATTTCCAAGGAGGCGAATCACAGTTATTTCCTCCGTGTTCCACAAGCAAGAAAAAAGTTCCACTCAGCTTTTTCCCAACCGCTGTTATTTTGTGGGACAGACTCCAGCGTGTGTTCTTCCTTGAACGCTTGGATCCTGACCTTCACAAGTCAATCGTTATCTACCTTCCTCTTATCCTTCTAATCTTTATACTCTGCTGCCGTCTCTTCCATTCATACTAGGCACCTCATTCATCATCGACTGCAACTCTTTATCTGGGGTGACTATCAACTGGGCGAATATCGGATGAAAGAGATGAAAAAAAATTATCATGAATTAAATCCCAATCCCAACAAATAACTATATCTATTGGAGAGGATGAAACAAGATACAAAGATATATATGTTAACAAAGAAAAGGTGTATATTTTTGTATATGCATTCATATTTAACAACTTTAACACGAGAACGCAACAACGAAGCCTTCCGAGAAAAACAAAATGAAAATAATTAACTTTAAAAAAACTACTAACCGAACATGTGAGCAACGATGACGTTTTGGAGGGGATGCAAACAAGGAGGAAGCTTATACTTAACATCAGAAAAGGCAGCTGAATATTCTGAGACTCGTAATGAGAAAGGAGGGCTTGGAGAATATGATACTCACTGGTCGAATAGAGGGAAAGAGAGAAGGCTGTTAAGGATATCATGAACCGTGCGTGTGGAGCAACGATGACGTTTTGGAGGGATGCAAACAAGGAGGAAGCTTATACTTAACATCAGAAAAGGCAGCTGAATATTCTGAGACTCGTAATGAGAAAGGAGGGCTTGGAGAATATGATACTCACTGGTCGAATAGAGGGGAAAGAGAGAAGGCTGTTAAGGATATCATGAACCGTGCGTGTGGGCAACGATGACGTTTTGGAGAGGATGCAAACAAGGAGGAAGCTTATACTTAACATCAGAAAAGGCAGCTGAATATTCTGAGACTCGTAATGAGAAAGGAGGGCTTGGAGAATATGATAATCACTGGGCGAATAGAGGAAAAAGAGAAGGCTGTTAAGGATATCATGAACCGTGCGTGTGGGCAACGATGACGTTTTGGAGAGGATGCAAACAAGGAGGAAGCTTATACTTAACATCAGAAAAGGCAGCTGAATATTCTGAGACTCGTAATGAGAAAGGAGGGCTTGAGAATATGATACTCACTGGGCGAATAGAGGGAAAGAGAGAAGGCTGTTAAGGATATCATGAACCGTGCGTGTGAGCAACGATGACGTTTTGGAGAGGATGCAAACAAGGAGGAAGCTTATACTTAACATCAGAAAAGGCAGCTGAATATTCTGAGACTCGTAATGAGAAAGGAGGGCTTGAGAATATGATACTCACTGGTCGAATAGAGGGAAAGAGAGAAGGCTGTTAAGGATATCATGAACCGTGCGTGTGAGCAACGATGACGTTTTGGAGAGGATGCAAACAAGGAGGAAGCTTATACTTAACATCAGAAAAGGCAGCTGAATATTCTGAGACTCGTAATGAGAAAGGAGGGCTTGGAGAATATGATACTCACTGGGCGAATAGAGGGAAAGAGAGAAGGCTGTTAAGGATATCATGAACCGTGCGTGTGAGCAACGATGACGTTTTGGAGAGGATGCAAACAAGGAGGAAGCTTATACTTAACATCAGAAAAGGCAGCTGAATATTCTGAGACTCGTAATGAGAAAGGAGGGCTTGGAGAATATGATACTCACTGGTCGAATAGAGGGAAAGAGAGAAGGCTGTTAAGGATATCATGAACCGTGCGTGTGAGCAACGATGACGTTTTGGAGGGGATGCAAACAAGGAGGAAGCTTATACTTAACATCAGAAAAGGCAGCTGAATATTCTGAGACTCGTAATGAGAAAGGAGGGCTTGGAGAATATGATACTCACTGGTCGAATAGAGGGAAAAGAGAAGGCTGTTAAGGATATCATGAACCGTGCGTGTGAGCAACGATGACGTTTTGGAGAGGATGCAAACAAGGAGGAAGCTTATACTTAACATCAGAAAAGGCAGCTGAATATTCTGAGACTCGTAATGAGAAAGGAGGGCTTGGAGAATATGATACTCACTGGTCGAATAGAGGGAAAGAGAGAAGGCTGTTAAGGATATCATGAACCGTGCGTGTGGGCAACGATGACGTTTTGGAGAGGATGCAAACAAGGAGGAAGCTTATACTTAACATCAGAAAAGGCAGCTGAATATTCTGAGACTCGTAATGAGAAAGGAGGGCTTGGAGAATATGATACTCACTGGTCGAATAGAGGGAAAGAGAGAAGGCTGTTAAGGATATCATGGACCGAACGTGTGAGCAACGATGACGTTTTGGAGAGGATGCAAACAAGGAGGAAGCTTATAATTAACATCAGGAAGCGGCAGCTGAAATTTATGGCACACGTAATGGGAAAGGAAAGCTTGGTGAATCTGTTACTCACAGGACGGATAGTGGGAAAGAGAGACAAGGTAAATCAACGCGTGACATACCTAGCGAGCTTAAGCAAGTGGATGACAAAACAGGGTTTGGGAGAAGTAGTAAAAGGACAAAACATATTGAGAACTACAAGGAGGAAGTGGAGAGCCATGATCGCCTACGTCCTGAAGGGATACGGCACATAAAAGGTGAAGAAGCGACCCTGACACTAAATTATCAGTATACAGAGACGCTTTGATAACGCTAAGTTTAACTGGTTTGATTCGGCTTTTGTTGTCAGCAGTTAGTTGTCGAACAGGAGTAAATTAGATTCTGAATTATTATTGTTTAGCGTTGGTCGAATATCCAGAGATTGGCTCAACAGTATTCTTTGATATATTGATTTTTCCTTCCAATTAAAGAGAGATTATTTTTTTATCATTAGAAATCGATACATGAAGTCTATCTTCAAGTATTTGGAATAAACCTCGATTTGGAATTAAACGTTTGGTCAAGAACATTAAATTATGCTACAGGAATGGCTCTTAACATAACATCTGAAATAAGATAATAATGATTGCTATCTTTTTATACGGATCTACAGGCAAATATTTCTATCGATCTCAATGACAGATTTTTAAGCAATATTTCTCCTTTTATAGACAAAGACACTTTTTCTCTTCCTTCCTATTTTCTATTCGTCTTTCTTTCTTTTCTTTTTACCTGTTTTTTGTCTTTTTTTTAATCATTTCACCCCAAGCAAGGCAATAAAGCCATAATATATGTCTGTTATATTATTACTTTCATAGTAATTGTTCTGATGAACTTACCGCTTAGACTATGAATT